TTATCCTGGCAGCCACTAAACCAGACGCACCAGACCACCACAGCTTTCCAGTCTCTTTCCTCGTTCAAAGCGCTCCCCACGTTCACCACTGCCTTGAGAATACCACGTGTCCCCGCACCTCGAAACAATACCCACACAACCATCACACCACACACACAACACACACACACAGCAACACACACACATTAGCATTCACACACTTTACAACACACAAACACACCACACACTACTAAGGTTCTAGGGTTATTCATGTATATCACTTACAACACTCAAACACGACACACATTACAATAGTTGAGGCGAGTTACGCATTTAGTTTTCTTTCTTTCAGTTGATGATTTGATCCATCACATACTATTCTGATTTTGCACTTCATACGTAATAATGTATGTTCTTATTAACTTTCATTATTTGACACAAAGAGAAGGGTTTAGATAGCAAAGATAAGACACAGAATTTAAAGTAAATAGAAATAATTAATAATACTATGTTTATAAAAATACAACGCTGATATATGGAGGAGGGATTGTATTTCTTATATAGGAGAGAAGTAAGTTCATCGGAAATAAATAGGGGGGGAGGGGTCAGGGCGTATATAATTTTTATGGAAATACGATATTGCAGCTTTTAGTGAAGAGAAGTTTCTGCTTTGGTTCAATTCACTGAAAACTCAGAGATAGAGTGAATCGCTTGATGCGCTCTTTTTGTGATCAAAGCATTGGTATCAACTTGGAACAGGAGAATAATACCAAAGTTTAACACGTTTTAAACCCTCAGAAAATAATAAAGGATTCTTTAACTTAACATGGAATGAGGAAATATATTTTATAGATTCTAGGAATAATTTTTTCAGCCTTCCAATCTTAATTATATGAAAAGTCGTGAGGAAAAACGTTACACTAACTACTTTTAATTAGTATTAAATGCTGGTTTGCTTTAAATATAACCATAAAATAAAACCGACATTATAATTCATTGAGGGTAAAATTAATCTATTTCATTTTGATTCTCTTAAGTGCCTTCATATAAGTCTCAGATATTTTATTTACCTCCAATCAATTAATAGACCAAAAAATGACGATTTTATTAAAGTTATGTTTAATAATATTAAATAAATCTGACCTGTAAAGTGACTTTTTTCTCTCCTCTTCTGACTTTCCTGTCTGTCCGTCTTGTTCCCTGTCTTTGCATCTCCTCTGCCTTTCCTGGTCTCTCAATTGTCCTGCAGCACTCGACGGCTTGATCACGTAAGTTTGTGGAGGCTGAATTGACTGATGTACAACAACAAACGACAGTCCAAGTACCGTGAAACCGCATGCAAGGACCGCATCCAGAGACACAGCTGAGATCAAGTGAAGTACTGCCCTCAATATCTGGCCTTCATACTGTGTGTTTTCATATAGGTATATCCTGATTAATTTTTAGGGAAAGATGTTGGTGGAAATATGCATTGCTGGGTGTGTTCTAATTTAAAATAGCAGTTAGTTGATTATGACTAAAAAGTAAGCGGATACCAGAACGTGTCAGCACGACGAAATACTTTTAGCTAAAATACATAGTTCAAGATACACAGTTACTATAAACAGTCGTTGGTTAATGCATAATAATTATATTGGGATTTTTATTGGGGAGAAATGAATGAATAGCTATTAAAAGGCATATTTGTAACACTATCACCTTGGAATAGGTCGATTATGAATATAATTTTGAACAAGAGGGATTTCAAAAGTGAAATCCTTATGTAAAAAACTTCTATATGCGGTTGGGTAAATCAGTTATCAGAGTGGGAATGTAAAGTAAACATGAGGATATTTTCACTTTAAAAAAATATTAAAGCACACACACATCACGCCACACCTACACACACACACCACAACACACACAACACACACACTCCACACACCACACATCACCACCATCACCACAACACACTGTCATAACACAAACAACATATTATCAAAATTCAGCTGGAAAGGAGTCTAAATTGGGGTGTACCAAGAATCAAAAAACCAACCAGCACGACATACACACCACACAGCCACCCACACACACACACAAACACACACACAGAAAACCATTTAGGACTGTCAAGACGACTAGTAGAAGCAGTCCCGATTCGCTGTATCCATGATATTTTATGCAGATCCTATATTTGTTCAACGGATATGCATAATATAATATATATATGTTACCAAAGGACCGACTTTCACAGTACTTGACCATTCTCGGATGAGACAGTTTGTTCCTCAGTTCTTTTGTGTCAATGTGAGGCATGGCACCCTACTCTGAAGTAGCCGTCTATGGAGACCAACTTTTTTTTGTTTTAATCGGTACACTAAGTGATGAGACATGGCAATTATGTTTATTAAAGACAAAATGTTCAAATTTGGAAGGAAATTCTTCAATCTGGTCTAGGTGTGCATATGCCTCCTTATGATGATGAGTTTGAAAACAACTCTCTGCAAACCACATTTAATATCATCAACTTCCGTGACATTATCTCATTGTTCCTACTTTATATTGATCATAACGTACTGAACCTGTTAGATACGTACTTAGTAACCAGACGGGCCATAAATTGGGCGATAATTATGAGTCTGTTCATCCAACACATGACATGAAAGAACCTCGTAATTTTGTATAAAGACCCAGTAATCACACTTCATGAACACACTTCAATTCTGAAGTTGGCTGCTTGCAAATCAAATTAAAACAATGAGGTCAGAGTTATTATCATGTTCAAGGAAACTGAATACCGAATTATTGACAGAAATACGAGAAAGAATAAGTCATACGTCAATAAAGTGTTTGTATCTGCATAACTAAGAGACATTTCGTGATGTCCAGGCCAACCTGAAAGGCTAGTAATCCTAACAATTAACCAGAAAATAAACTATAATTGAAACAATAAAAAAAAACAAATGTTTCACTTAGGCACTAATGGCTATCCTGCGCAAGGGGCTCTGAGCCGAACACACAAACACGCTTTTGACAATATGCAAATCACAGTAAATGCATGTCATGGCACAAACTATCAAAAGCAATTGTAGGGTAGTAAACAAAAGCAGTTCTCACCAGAACTTAGCATTTGCGCACCAAGGCAGAACAACAGAGGACTCACTCCCTCAAATATACCGACAGGCTGTTTGAGAATATGGTTTTCGAATAAAGGAAACCAAAACCCCAAAACAATTGTGTTACTGGCTTTGTTTTTTCATTTTTTTTTTTACAACACTCTCTCATGCCGGATTGAAGTGAATATTATTATCATACACAAAACAGAAATACTACTCAAACCATAAAGGACTCTTCGGGATAAGCTGTCTCGATGTACAGTTGAGGGTCCCCTCTAACTGCCATCCCACGACTGGAAGAAGAGAGAAGAAGAGTAACACCTATTTCCTCAGACATACAACTGCAGCAAGTTTTCCCTGCATCCGCTACTTAGACACAATAAACTTTCTACTATCTCCAAGTTTAGTAATTCAGAATCTTGAACAAACTTCTGTCATATTAATAGACAAATCAAACCCTGCAACTCTTTATATGTTCAAGAGAAAAGACCCACTGCATGGATAATGGGCCATTCAATGCATGGGTAAATAAAGCAATCCCATCCTGACAAAATTAACAAAATAATAATTACATAGTTCTATACATACAGACGGGCTCCATACTTGTGATATCTTAACAGCGACACAATTGATCAGGGGGATTTAAATCAAATAAATGCAGCAAGCGCCATGGCTGTATCAGCTATACTACATGTTAAAACCTCTACAGGAGATGAAGTAAAAACAGCCTTCTATAATACATCATTCGCCAGTAAGCCAAACTCCCAAGAAAGAACAATAACTAAACACACCTAAATGGGAAGGACTTCTTTATAGAACCTGAGAACATACTACCTCGAAGTCTAGTGACTTCGGACTTCATCAGAGACAGGTGTAGCGTGGTTTGGTGAACCCTGCAAAGTAAATGTGTACAGTACTGTTACACATGAACACAGGTATATGGTTTAATGGGGGTAATCTACAGTGAGTCTGAATAGGTATGGGTTTCACTACAACGAGTGTACAGTTGTTCAACATGCTGATTTGATTATCTCACCTGATGTCTGGAGCTCAATGGTAACATATACACCATCTCACCTGATGGTGTATATGTTACCGTTGAGCTCCAGACAGCGACACACCAAACTAACAGCTTCCTCAGATCTGATCCAATGCTCCTCAAAACTGACAAAGAAGAGAGAGGGTAATGCAGCTCAGTGTTTCAACAATAGAATGCAGCACATGGACACTGTTTAATTCAGCTATATGGACAGAAACACAGTAAAAAGCAATATGGACTGTATGACAAGTGTCTTGTTTGATTCTTCTCTTCAGGAGCACACAGCACATGCTACATCTACTGTATTGATTCTCACCTGACACTGATTCCTCTCTCACTGCTGTTCAACAGTTTCACAAAGTCTTCAATCGAATCCGACTGCAGCAAATTGTTCTTGAACCTGTGGACCAATCACCAAATAATCGTTACTGATTTTCACATGATGATCACATTGATCAATAAAATCATTCATAATGCCTGAAAACCTATACATGTCTCTTGAGGCTAAAATTTAGTCATTGTTAAACTAAGAATCAGTTGAACTTAATGGGGAGTTGGAGGTGTACTTACTCCAGTTTGGTCAAACTGGGACAGGCAGACACGATCTCTGCTAATCTGACCAGATGACCACGTTCCAAACTACTCTCTCAGATGCTGGCAAAGTGGCAGAAAAGATAGGAGAGAATAAAAAAAAGTATAAGTCAACATATTAGTAAAAGGTAACTGTGAATGCTAACAATAAAACACGGAATTCACTCTGACATTTTGTGGCAGAAACATGGAAAACCTGTGCACAATGACATGCTAGTTACTTATACTTTTGAAATTTTGGATTCTTGTCCTACCTCAGAGTTTTTTCACAGCCGTCGTATTGGGTAAACCAGATGAGACACCTCTCCTCTGCTCCCAAACTAGACATGGACAAAAACTTCATTCATTCATTCAGTTTTCCATGCTTTGAACAATTCATTGAATTGCTTTCTTCTTTTGGTCCTTTGTTCATTCACTTCCACAATGCACAGACTCACCTCACTTCTGCACCAGAGACGCTACCACAGGTACACAGCGTGCTCGCCTCATCCAACAGTCCCTGCTGTGTCAGGTCATTGTTGCTCAAACTGTGGATGGAGACGCATTAAAGACCAGAAAAGTGTCTGTCTGTATGTGTAATCTGTATTCAACCCATCCACTATCATATCATCAACAACATACTGTAAGTGAGGTATTTTAGATGGGAATGGAAAAAAGTCAGATAACATATATTGGATTTTTGAAAACAAACATGTAAAGGACCAGTTTGCAATATTTAGTGACATCTAGTGGTAAAGTTTGAAACTGCAACCAACTGAATACAGCTCAGCCTTTCAAGCATGCAGGAGGCCACGAAACACATTAAAACTGCCAAAGGCCCTATCTAGGCACATTTTGGTTTGTTCATTCCGGGCTACTGTAGAAACATGGCAGTTCAACATGGCGGACCCCGATAGGACGAGGACCCACAACCTCCTGTAGCTATCAACAGCTCATTTTAAGGTAAACGAAAACAAACAATCTTATTTTCAGGTGATTGTACATTAATGAAAACATTCCTATGAATTATTATATTCCATTTCTGCCAATAGATCATCCTAAATGTTACACAATGCCCCTTTTTATATGAAAAAAAGAGGCCAATTTCACAGAAGACATTTTGACACGACACAGGCAGGAAAAGCCTAAGTGTTTATATTAAAATAAATGAATGATTCCATTTTAGCTGCATCAGTTTCAAGGCCCTAGTGTTGTTCATGCTGGCTCAGAGTCAAACCCTTCATGCCTCACTCACTTGACACTTGAACAGAAACAGGAGCCATCGTTAATGTTTTAAGTAACTTTGCTTTTTCAAGTCAAAAAGTCTGCTGTGAAAAAGCTTTACTTTTTTATTTCTATATATTTACTGTGTGTTGTGTTGCTCTATACAGCTGCTAAAAGATGAATATAAACCAAAAAAATGTAAATCAGTGTTCGATAAACAATATATCTCACATGACGTAGTTCAACCCAGTCTCAT